GAAGAGCAATATCCTAGGTTTATGACCAAAGCAACTCTATCATAGGTATGGGAGAATAGTTACTTCATGGTGATCGAAGGGATTGTGCTATGACACAAAATTTCAAGCAAAGGCATTGGGGTAGATCAAGCAAAAATAGAGACCATAGCTAATCTTCAACCGATAACCTCCATCAAAACAATACGAAGCCTCTTAAGACATGCTAGGTTCTATAGACGATTCATCAAAGATTTCTCCAAGATCACGCAACCTCTTACAAAAATCATGGAGAAAGATGCTACTTTTCTTAAGGATGAGAAATCCCTTGAAGCCTTAGAGCTCTTACAAAAAAAGTTGGCAGAAGTGCCCATCCTCACATCACTAGATTGGTCACAAGAATTTGAGCTAATGTAGGAAACTAGTGATTATGCAATTGGAGCAGTCCTAATACAAAGGAAGGATAAAAGGTTTCACCCTATTTACAATCCTTACATCCTCACATCACCTGAAACACATTTACTACCTTTTTGGGGGTCCACTCATTATCCCTCATAATGAATTATTTACAATCTCTCCTTCAAGTAGAGATTGAAAACAAATGATTGTGGTCTAAATTTATATTCCATTTATGTCCCTTCTTTTTTTTTTCCTTTATATCAAGATTAACCTCATCCTCCACTAACCCTCTCTCATTTCATCGACATTCTGCAGAAACCAAAAAAGAAAAAACTTCCATGTTCCTTGCTCGATGACCCGCGTTAGAATTCCAAACCACCATTCCTTGAACTCCTATGCACCTCTCTATCCATGTTAATCATTGCATCCCACAGGATCCGCTGCCTCCTCACCATCATGACAGAGCCGGTTTTGTAGCTCTATCCCGCCATCAAAATTCGTTTAGGATCGAAAAAGAAGGGCCTTATGTTTCAGTCGGGAATTGAAGGAGACCAACCAGAAAATCTACGTAGTCACAATTCCATTAATTGAATAGGTATGTTACCCATATGTACTCTCTTTTGTCAATCCTTTCCTACCTCTTTTAGTCCAGTAAATCAGATGTTTGTGTCGTAGGTCATGGCTAGTGCCCCAAGCTAAGGAAGAAGGCAATCATTGTTGCAGTGTCTATGTACTTGGACCTCTTATTCAATTTCATTAGGCTGATTATACAATATTATGATTCATTAGAATTTGAAGTTAGGAGACAGTGATTGCTAGGCAATTATCTAGGAATTCTTTCATGCGGTGTACTGTTTCCCACAACGACATATCTTACACCATGATTCTTAAAATGAATTGTAGGACTTTTCAGAAACTGTGTAACCTTCTTAGAGATGAGGGAGGCCTTAGGTGTAGTTGGAATATTGAGATGGATGAAATGGTTGTCATCTTCTTGTACACGATAGTACAGAACGAGAAGAATCGTCAACTGCAAGTTACCTTTCTTCGTTTAGGAGAAATGACTTGCAGGGCATTAAACGTGTTCTTCATTCGGTATTGAAACATTATTCGATTTTGCTTCGTAATACCACCCTGGTTCTCGAGAACTCTGAGGATTCTAAATGGAAGTACTTCAAGGTATATGGTGTTGATGTGTTATATGAATTGATAATTTGTCTCTATGAACAACTAATATATTAAGATTTTTTACCATTTAGAATTGTTCGTGTTTACTTGATGGAACAATTGTCAATGTACGTGCAACAAAAGAGAATCAAGAAGGATACCATACTCGTAAGGGAACGATTGGAATGAATGTCCTGGAAATTGTTAACCAAAACATGGATTCCATTTACTGCTTGGTTGATTGGGAGGGGTTGGCTCATGATGGGAGGGTTTTAAGAGATGCCCTGATTAGGCCAAATGAATTAAAGGTTCCTAGATGTAACATTGGACAAGCTGCTTTCTCTTTAATGATGTTTTATAGGTATATAAAGTGGTTCATAATTCTGAATTGTTGTGTATAAATTTGTGATTCGAGCCTAATTGCACATGTTTTACCCCCATTTTACTTAGCTGTTTGTGGCAAATTCGCTCCTAAAAGGTTGGTTTTATGCTAGGTTTCTCGTGTTTTAGCATGCTTCAGGATTCAACAGGTGAAACCAGCCTCAGAGTCGAAAGTTGGGCGGAAAGGATCGAAAACCGGGAGAAGAGGTGAAAAATGGCCAGTTCACGGCTTTCCAAGGAAGTTCACGGTCTTGTATGACCGTGAAGAAGAGCCATTGACCGTGCAACTCAAGGCATCCAAAGCATTCCCAGAGGTTACTGACGCAAGGTGAGTTCATGGTCACTAAGACCGTGAACATAAATGAACGAAGCGGTGCGTTTTGGCGCACGCATGCAGTTCATGGACGCGTTTCATGGTTCACGGTCGTGAACTCAGGCCGTGAACTGAGCTCGTCTCTGGTTTAAATGTTGAGCTGAAAGGAGGAGAGAGGGGACAACCCATTTGTGTGAAAAGCCTTCTTCAGATTTCTAGAGAGAGAAACACGAACCAAAGGAGAAGAAGGCTAGAGTTTTGCTTAAAGGTGGATTTTGGGACGATTTCCTCCAAGGAAAGTTCAACATAAGGGCCAAGAAGATTGGGAGCATCCTCCAAGGTGGTTTCCACCTCTTCTCCTTGTGTTTTTCCCATTTCTAGAATGGAGTAGAATTCTTTTCACTTGGGTGTTGTGAAACCCTAACTCTACCATATAGTTTTCTTTTATGTGAATTGAATGATTTTCATTGGGTATTGTTTAATTCGATGATTGAGGTATTATTCATATTGATTGTGTATGTCTATGCTTAGCAATCTAACTAGCCACTTAACCTAGACTAGAGAGGGAAACCCCCTTCCAAGGGAGTCTCAATTGAGTTGGTATCCCTAGGGCTTTTTTTAAGTCTTCTAACTAGGTTAATTTAGGGCAAACCTTAATATTGGATTAAGCAATTTGGTTAAGCGCAATTAATCCATCAAACCCTTGGGTTGAGATAGGGAGTAAGTCAACCATTGATTGCCTAGACCGAGAGGTCCTAGTGACAACCTATAATGCATGCCTCAGTTTAGCAATCATGAACGTATCTACAACCATATTTGCGTCCCTTAGCGGTTAGCAATTGCCTTGCCCATATCGATCATTCCGGTTCACATACCATAGTAGTAGTTAGGGGGAAGTGCACCCGAGTGATCTTCCCAGAAAGAGTTTTCAAACCGAATACCTTTGCCTTATTTTATTTTAGTTAGCAAACTTTTAAACCAAAACTTTGTTGCTAGATAATGACTCAAATGACTGAAGCAGGGGTAGACGGACCGGCCCGGGGTTGATATTTAAACATACTTATCCTATCCTGCACCCGACTAAGGTTTATACTTGGGCCTTAGGCGGGAAATTATTGTGGTATTCGGGACGAGTAAATTTGTTTGGCAGGTTTCTATTACTTATGTGATGCAGGTTATAGTAATTGTGAACGGTTCTTATCCCCTTTCATAGGACAACGTTATCACCTAAAAGAGTGGGGAGGGCGACGACCAAGAAGCCTTGCAGAACTATTTAACATGAGGCATTCCACAACAAGAAAAGGAGTAGAGCGAGCATTTGGCATACTGAAAATGCGATGGGCGATCTTAAGAGACACAAGTTGGTTTTCAACCCAAATGGTCACAAAAATTGTGAATCCATGTTGTCTGTTACGTAACTTCATATGTGGAGAGAATGGTGCTGATGTGTTTGAGAGGTTGTATGTTGATGAAGATCCGGACGATGAAGAAGAAATTATGGATGAAGACCTCATTGTCCATATTCATCCTTCTATATAGTGGTCCGAGTTTAGACAACAATTGGTTGATGAGCTGTGGGCTACTAGGAATTGGGCGGCTAATTGATTAAGTGTAGTTTGGTAGGCTACATTCAATTTTAGTTCCCTTATGATGCAGTGTAAGAACGAACTACCCCATAGTTTGTTCCTTTTGGTAATTTGAACTTCTTTGGGGTTATTTTGTAAAAGGGAGTGAGCTACTGAATTATGTACTTCTCTAATGATAACTATATGCTTTGTTATACATGCGTTGTAGTTTTATTTCCCATCTTATTAATGCTAGCACAATGTGAGAGGGATCTCTATAATATCTCAACATTTAATGGTTGAGATGGTGGTTGGCTTTGTTCAATTCAGATTCTTCTTATATGTGGCTGTTGCAGTTCTGTTTCGGAGTAGAGAAGCTTTGTTCTTCTGCTTTTCTTTTGTTTGGTCAGAATCTTTCTTCTTTGTGCAGTCATATTCGTTTTTCTTCTCGTTTTATTACTTCGTATGTTGCTATAGTTCTTTCGATTTTCTTTTATTTTGTGAGGTTCAGGTTCTTCTAGTTCAGTTGTTGTTCTGGTGTTTCTATTGTTCTAGTACAACTGCTTTTCTTTTATTTATGTTGTTCTAGTTCTATTAGTTTTGTTTACTTTTATGCAGTTGGTTGAAGATGACAGCAAATAAAGGTGTTGATGGAGGCCTTAATGATGCAATATCGACTAGCACGATATTTAATTCTCGCGGTCCAAAAATGAAGATTCGAATTCAACGATATAAGGATCAATTGGGATTGTTCTTAATGGTTAAATGGCGCATAAAAGCTATTGCGCCGTGCATGAACTTAAAATTGTGGTAGGTTGGTGGGTGGATTAATTCCAAAAACTAACAATTGAGAAGGCCCACGTGAAGACAAAATGGGAGCTAATTGATGATAATAAATCTTGACATATTATGCAAAGTGGGAAGTAAAGAGAATTGATGCATGGGTTTCGTTGGGCCTGAGTTTCTGTGCTTAAGCCCAAAAGTTTAGGTATATGTTTAAAGCGATTCTATTGGCTATTAAGAAATTAGGTAGTTAATAAGAAGTTATTAGTTAATAGGTGATTAAGAGTAATTGGGTCATTAGAGATTTTTAGTTATTTTAAATCTTATTAGGGTTTTTTATTCCATACCAAGCAAACTACCCGGCCGCTCTCCTTCTCCCCTGCCTGTTCTATCCTCTCGCTAGTGCTCCGGTTTCGTTTTCCTCCGCCGACCGCTTTCTTCTATTGCCATTGCCGGTTAATGAAGAGGGAGCTGGTTGTCGGAAGCTGGCCCATTTGACGGAGTCCGGCGTGGTCGTGGAAGCTATCCACGGAGTCCGCATGGAGACCAGGTACGTCTCGCCCGATTTGGTCGTCACCGTCGCCTTTGGGGCTGGCTTTCTGTCGTTCTTTATTTTTGCTACTTTTGGATGCCAACCCGCTGCTTTGTAATATGTTAATAATTTGACTACATTGTTAATATAATACGATAGGATTAGTAATATATTAATAATTTTGCTTTCATTAATTGTGATATGGTGGCCAAAAGGGACGATAGAAATGGAAATTAAAATGAATTCTCCAAACTAGTTTGTAATATAACCTGGACGTTTATCAACATTTTACATGGATTAGTAATATAATTTGAGCCAACTGGTAATCTAAGTCCAAATTGATAATGATATGTTTATTAATTATCAATTAGATTTGTTTGGTGATTATATTTTTCATTGTCAATTTTTATTAATTAGTAACGTCATGTCATGTGTGCACATATAGTTTTTATTATCAAATGTTTAATAATGCGTTATTATCAACTTTTATTATCACGCTATTAGTTTTAAACTTTATTACCAATGTTTTTGTATTCAATAAATATGTGATAGTAACTTTAATAACAACATTCTTATAATCATTGATAGAGAAAAATATTTAGTTGAAAATAAATATTTTTGTATTCAATAAAAACATAATGTTTTGGTCCTTGATGTTTTCGTTGTCATTAATTTGTTGTTACATTATTAACGGTTTGTTGCATCTCTATCAACTTATGAGCGTAATCTATTGCATGGTTATTATTATTTATTACCCAAAATCCAGTTTATCACTTTTGTAATGTTCACAAATTTTGTGCATCTTTCTTTGTGTAGTTTGACGGCATTGCGCGAACTAAGAACATGTCATGCAAGATTGTTCTGCTTAGATCAAGCAGCTAGAATTTGAGGCCAATGATGATGATACACCAAATCAAAGATCCATTATGTACCAAATGTCAAAGATGGTGAAGAATATCAGTCTTGGACTATATACAAAATCAATATTTTTATATGAATGTAATTACTAATGATAGAAAAAAAAAATTGTTAATGTTTTCAATTTGGATGTAAACGTTTATGGAACAATGTCCAACAATTACATCATCAACTTTTTTGGGTTCATTGTTATCAATCCAAGGTACTGTTATCAACTTTTTTGCTATGAATTATCAACGATATACAAAAACATTATTATCGTCTCTAAATAATTTTTTTGTTGTTTGTTAATGGGTTTAGGCTCATTGTTAAAGAACCCGATGTTTCGGTATAAAGAAACCGTTGTTAACGTAATAAAATATTTAAGGTAATAATCATTGTAGTTGATCATTATCAAATTTTTTTAGTGAATAATTAAAAAAATATAGTTGTTACCAATTCAAATGTCATTATCTAGGTTTAATGTATCATGATATCGGATGTGTTTGTTAATGTATCATGATATACTAATGATACATTATTAGTATATCATTACTAATAATATCAAAATCGTTAAAAATAGACCTAAAACATTTATAATTTTTACTTTCAATGAAAATTTTGAAATGAGAACGTCACTTTTATGTTAAAAATGTTAAGGAACTCTCATTAAAATGTTAACAACATGAAAGTATATCATTACTAATAGTTTCAGTTGCTTTAATAATTGCCCTAAAATATTTACAATTTTTTCATATAATGTTAAATAGTGAACACTGTCGAATTGATGTATCGTGATATCAGTTGTTTAAGGTAATAAGTATTATAGCCGAGCATTATCAACTTTTTGAATGAATTATTAATAAAACATAGTTACATTACTAACGATTTAAAATTTCATTATCAACGTTTGATTTATCATGATATAAGATGTTGTTTGTTTGTTTATATGAGTTAACCATCTTTGGGAGCTAACTTATTTAATATTGCTTTGTCTTTATATTAGTAACATATTTGTTGTCCTTATTATCGGTGTATGATTTCATTTATTTGTTTGTTTGTTAAACGCGTTAAGTAGCTCCCATCAAAACATTGATAACGATAAAGTGTATTGTTAATAATAGTTTCAAAATGGTTAACAATTTACCTAAAACATTTACAATTTATACTTTCAATGAAATTTTGATGAGAACGTGACTTTTACGTTCAAAACGTAAACAACTCCAATCAAAACGTTAACAACGATAAAGTATATTATTACTAATAGTTTCAAAACCGTTAACAATTTGCCTAAAATACAAACAATTTTCTGATTTATTGTTAATATTGAAATATCCCACAAATCAACATAAAGACAGGATGGCGGATTGGATGTAGCCTGTAGGTTGTGGCGACGTGAGCGGCATTGGGGAGGATGTGGCTACGTTGTTGCGGGATGGCGGCGTGCTGGACGCTGTGGTGATGGGATGGGATGTCGGAGTTGGAGTCAGGCATGTTTGTGGCGGTGCCGGTTCTCGGTACGATACTGGGATGTGGGGGCTCACGATGACAGCGCCGATGTTGCCTTCGGCCGCAGGATGGAAGATACTCGAACGAAGGACTCCGGCGGGATGGTAGATGGAGGCACCGACTTCGGCCGGACGAGTCCGTCAGACTATGACGGCTGCTTCTCGCTTTTGGCAAACGGAGGTAGAAACACAAAATGATTTAGGGTTTCCCCCCCTCTTTTTATTAACTACTAATTTTCTTCCTAATACCAAATTTACCCTTAATAATAATCTATCTAATAAACTGCCAAAAATTAACTGTAATGTTCTCAGCCAATAGAATTAGTTTAAGCGTATGCTTAAATTTCTAGGTTTAAGCACTGGATCTGACCCAATTTCGTTGGTGGCCAATGCCACGTGATGACGTGAAGCAAAGGAACGACCAAAATGTTTCCGTAGTGGCTAAGGAATTTGGGGACCGGAATTGGTTCTCCGCAAAGGAAAAGGAAAGTGGACGTGCAGCGAAGGGGTGAAATTGTGGAGTTTATTCGTTTTAATTATTTATTTAAGTTATGTAGGAGTTTTAATAGTAATTTAATAAAACGTCTCATTCCACCTTACTCTAAGGGTAGTTATTATTAAATTGATATTATGTTTACTACTTAGTCTAGGATTTGTTTTCCTATTCCTAGAAAGTTAGATTTATATTTTTTGCGACCTCTATAAATAGAGGGTGTAAGAGCTATGAATTTTGTACCCAATATTCGAAAATCAAGTTAAAGAGTGTTTACTCGTGTTCCATTGTGAACGTTTGCTTAATCTCTCCTTTGAGGATTCGAGAGAATTGAGTGATCTCTTATCAACTAGAGAATGTGTCTAGTTGTGGTGAGCATTGGCGATATCGATTAGCTTATCCACATGTTCGAGATTATTTTATTGGTTTCATATACTTGGCCCTTCTCACGAGTTCGGATTTGTTTGATCAATTTCCGCAAGTTATCTTTATTGTTCGTGTTATCAAGAAAGGAGAAAACCCCTAAATAGTTCGACATGTGCAACTCTGGTGTTTTGGTCCAAGTTTGAGTGGATTCTCGAATCAGGGTCATATCAAGTGGTATCAAACAATCTCGAATTCAACGTATTTAATTCTCGTGGTCCAAAAATGAATATTCAAATTCAACGATATAAGTATCAATTGGGATCGTTCTTAATGGAAAAATGGTACTTAAAAGCTGCTACCAACGTGTGGCCTTGCATGGACTTAAAATTAAGGTAAGTTGGTGGGTGTTATGAAACTAATGGAAAATATAAACAACTACAAGAGAAGATTAGAGAGGGAAAGACACAAAGAAGAGAGGGGGGAAGTGAGCTTTCATATTCATTCTTCTCTTTTGATACAATGGTGTGCTTTATTTATAGGCACACCTTAGTAACCACTACATCCTTATATCAATGAGAGATAATGAAACATAAAGGAGCTATCAAATGTAGGAATGGGGTTACATGTAACTCCCAAGTGAGCATCTAATGTGGTAATGGCAATGGTCATCCATATATCAATATTTACATAATACTCCCCCTTGGATGACCACTAGATTGCATTACGCTATCTCATATTGCCTCGTTAAAAACCTTACCAGGAAAACCCAGTGGGAAAAAACCATGGTTAAGGGAAAAAGAGTGCAGTGCGTATATGCTCCCCCTCATGACCACATCACTTCAAATCTTTGAGTCGTTGAACTCAAATTTTACGAACAACTTTTAGAAAGATTGTTGTCGGGAGTTAGTTAGTAAACAATCTTCTAGGTTGTCAATCTTATGCATGATCTTTAGATTTTCTTTATCCATGATCGTCAGGATCATTTCCTTTAGAAATAGTTTACAACCACAAGTCCTTTAGATATGGTGAATCATAAAGTGTAACGAAATACATTCAGGACTTGTCTACTATAGTTTGTTTTGGATATCTATGAAACAATCATATCACCATATGTAAGAGATATCTCGTCTCTGATCAACCAATATGAAGATCAAATAATATATAGGATTTGGATACATAGTCACCAAATCTCTCTTTGATAGTACCATAATAGAACAATCGCATATATTGTTCCTGAAGGTAACAAAGTATTTCCAACGTTCCATTGAGGGAAACATTGTATTTTGCTAATATTATAAACACCAAAATGATAGTTTATATGGTGCCTGGCTAGCAAGATGCATTGGTGCTCCGATGCATCAACATATGGTACTTCATGACCTAGTACATCAACATAAAGTACTTCAGGACCTAATGTTTCACTTCTTTCTTGATGCCTAAATGGATCTTTGGTCACTTCTAGTGATCTTAGGATCCTAAAGTTATTTGATGAACATAATTTGTTCAGGCAAAATTAATTTTCCACTGCTTCAACATTACCTTCCTTGTCCATAAAAAGGATCTTAAATCCTTCAATTTAACTTATGTCTCTAAACAATCAACTGCTTTAGGAAGCTCTTCCGGAGATCCAATAATAGTCATATCATCAACATAATATGAGATCGGCACAAAAAAACTTAACTAACACAAATTGATGCAAGCAATTCTTTCATATAACGAAAGATAATAACAAAACTCACATCATAGAAACATATGAACTGGACAAAGCACAGTCATAAAACGCAACTCATACTTTAAAGTAAAACACAACTCATAAACCAAGATTTTAAAATCTTTGAAGCACATACAGACAACACAACTATATATGCACAATGCAAATATTCTAATGCACTCTATCCGGATTTAACCTTTTAAGGTCCATTCACCCTACTGTTGTAGGTGTTCACTTAGACGAGTATTTCACATTCGTCTATATTTTCTCAACCCATACAGAGGATATTCTTAGTCTATCATTATATGTTCTCGAGAACTTTACTTGTTTACTTCAGGTAAATTAATCCTTAAGGGAGTAATTAATCCTTCTGGGACTTTCAAATATGTATAACATCTTCAGGGAATTCAAACAAATAAGGCTATCACAACAATTTTCAAACATTGATTTGAAAAAGTAGTTGCATCCACCACAGGGGAGTATAACTCCTCTTAAACAATGATAGGTCTCTTCGAAAAACCCATTGCAAAACATTATGCGATATCTCTCACAATTTCATACTTTCCAATAGCACAAAAATTTGTTTGTATCCCGCTAGTTTTGCCCTTTTTTAGGTGCAAGGACTTCTGGTCCTTAAACTTTATGCTCCTTGAGCAAGTTTCATGATTTCTTTCTATATTGGACAATAACATCATCATTTGCATGCATCAATAGAGTTTTACTCTTGATCCTCACTTGTACATATCATATTCAGTACTGAAGTACAACAAACAAATTTCATCGACAATGATTTCATTATGGTTCCAGTATTGTAGTCTAATATGGTTTTGAGATCTCTTCGCTTTCACAACTTTCAGATACATGTGTTCTTCTGGAAATAAAATTATATTTTATTCTTGGTTACTCTTCTTGAATTTTCATGTCCTCGAGTTGACCATTCTAATTACAACTCCTTTTCTTTCTCGAGGATGTTTATCATTGGAACCGATTAGTCTATCACGCTTCATGCGCTCTTTCATACAGATTTTTTTATATTAGAGCATCCAACAAGGATATCAAATTTAGTTGGAGCATTCACATCTAGTATATGTGACTTGGTCACTTCGTATGGCCAGTAAAGGCATTTGATAGTTGGTAACGATAATTTATCTTATGAACTTCAGGTTCATGTTTCTTACTTTGAGGATCAAAACTAGACAATGGTAACTCATTCCAACTCATCTCTTTGTCTAGCTGTTTTATCTCTCCCCCCTTAATATTGGAAAGGTATTCCATCAAAACAATAATTTCGCAAACAAATTTCCCATTTGGGATTCAAACCTCAACACAAATTCTCAATCTCTAATGATAATCAACTTGAGATACTGTGGTGGAGCAATTGGGATGTATGCGGGACACCCTTATATTCTCATATGGAAAATGTTAGGTTTCTGACCAAAACCATTTGTAAAAAGGCGGAAACTTATGATAACTTGTTGTTAGATGCGAACCAATACTATCACTTGCCAGCTAGCATGTCCTCGACAAGAGACGGGAAGGCTCAGCTTGTTCTATTAAGCAAAGTGATGTTTGATTGGATAACCATAAAAATGTATCCATAGTGAGGCAATCAATCTCGCAAACATCGGGTTGCGATTATATAAAATACATGTGATCATCCATTTGATGCAGGAACCCATAAAATTCACAAATGATCCACATGACTGATGTATTATTCTGCATACACATCCATAAAATCTCAAGAGATTTGCCAACCCTTTTACAAGCGATGATAAATTGTTCTATATTCCTTGAGAACAAGCATGACATAATAACTCTTGAAGAATTCTTTGAAATCTCATATGATGTTCTCATGAATTCTCAAAGAATTTTTTCCACATCAAGATCCGAGATGGTCTAACCGGACCAACCAAATTATCAAGTTATCAAATCTTGTAAACTTATGGTTTACACTTTTATGTGTACTGATAGTACTAATATACATGTAGTACATATTTGTGATGCAAATATTATTTTTACTATTTTCTTGATAAGATACTCATTTTACGAATATCCTTTTAACTGGGTAATGCATCATCACTAGGTAGTTTGGGTCCTTCAGGCCACAAACATTAGCTCTTTTAGAGCTTTACCATATTTTGTACCATATTTCGCCCTTCCGAAGACTTATGATTTGATGCATTCTTAGTAAACACATATTCATAGTGAATATCATCACAAATTATTATCACGAGTACATAATTTAGTTACTTCAAGTAACCAAACATAAGCTATTCGGAAGCTTTTTCTCATTTATGTACTCTACCATATAGTTTATATGGAATTTTTCTAATACTCATACTTTATAAAAACATAATAAAAGTAATAAATGAGAATATTTCAAACTTAAGACAAAAATGATGAACTTATCAAGTTAATCATTCTAGATAAAAGTTATCAAGTTAAATTATGCATGAAAATAATGGCATAATAAAACATAATAGAAAATAAGAATCATAATACTAAAATTGTGAAAATTAAATAAGATTTATTTGGAACAATACCATCACTAACTGGGTGATTTTAAATTTATATATGCCTTCAACATTGATAAGAATAATGATATATGCCTTTCATTATACATTTCAATGTACAATAGGTACATTATGTTATCATGACTTTGATAATATAATTGTTGTGTCATACTTATTTATAGTTCTTCTTTTACTCCTCTTTTCTCACTTCTGGTGAAAAGATCCAAACAATACATTTACCGTATATATAATTATGTTTATAGTTTCATTCACTTCGGGGAATAGATTGTTTCATTCACTTCTAGGAATGAAAATGTCTCAAGTGCAATATCATTTTCATCTTTAATGGAGAATATATCAACTTATAATACAAAAAATATGTTCCATAATATTGTATTGCAGGAGCATATATGAATTAGCTTTTCCCTTCGATTCTTGGTAGAATAAGGCCTTTTGCGTACAACAGGTATGAGACAAGTGCAATTTTCCATTACAATGGTAACATACAGAACCAATCTTCTTGTTACCATGTCATTTTCTTTCTTTGCCCTTGAATTCTTCAATGTCCACTTCTATGGAATATATG